TAGGCTTATGTTCAACTAAATGAGCATTATTAGCCCAAACTAATTCTATATATTTTTATTTTATAGAGTAAGAAAATTTTGCCATTTTGTGGTAAATCTACGGTTCTTTGACCTATTTGTAATGATAATAATCGCCTCAAGTAGTATTGCTCTAGCTGCGGAGGATCCAGTAAACGAGAATAATCCAAGAAACTGTATACTGGAATACTTTGACCACGCATTTACCTGCGTTTTTACAGTAGAAATGCTATTAAAGGTATATTATTTTTTTCATTGAGTAAAATCATTTTTTTAAATTGTTCAATTTAATTTAATTTTTATAATAATTTGCTTCGATATTATTGTAAAAACAGCCAACTAAAACTGTATCTATATTTCTAAACATTTACGTCAGCATGTTGACATCTTATTTCCCAAAATTAAAATTACATCTTGTTTATAAAAATTAATTTGAAAATATGATACCAAGTTCCTCCTAAATTCAATTGTATCTTCATATCTTTAAATTGTGTTTGCCCTTTTTCATTTAATGTGAAGAAGAATTTTTCCACAATCGTATATGTAGTGATGACGTGTCCATTTAATTTTGCGAAAGTTGTCAGCATTCAGGATGGACTGCAGTTTCGAATTCACCTCGGCGAGAGTGAAACCATGGTTGGGAAAGCAAGGCCATGTGAAATTCAATAGAAACGTTTTCTCTACATATATCATTGAGGGAAAATTCAACTAATAATTCTACTTCACCTTACTGATAATCTAAAAAACCTACCCAGAACGAAATATAAGTAATGTCATCGATTGCTATAGCAAATATAAGGTTATTTATATACAATACCACCACAGTATGTAATATGCAAACATTCTGATCAATTATTAATAAATTAGCGGACTTAAAGTAAAATATTTAGAACAATTGGTTTGAAGAATCCCTTAATTGATTGATGATGAACCAACTTTCATTTCGTTTTGAGAAACGACTAGGAGGGATTTGTAAGTTTGCTGGAAGTCGAAGGGGTGTTGCCTGAAGCTATTACTGTAAAAGTGGGTTGACCTCGTTGTCTCAACTTGGTCTGTAGATACTGTATATTACTCTTTTATAGATTTGTGCAAATAAGTCCTTGGCTCATCTTCTTTGCTGAGCTTTCGCCCATCATGTGACAGGCATCAGTAGAGCAGGATACCATGCTTTAAGATACTTCACCAAGCGCTAAGATAAGAAAGCTAGCCGGCTACAATACTAACTTTGTCAATTTAATGAGATATTACACGATTTGATTTGGTATCCTATACTTTTCTCAGATATTTGCTGCAAGTGAAATGGCAGGAATGTCTTCGAGCAAGCAGTTAAAAGAGAAACTAATTAGTACTAAAATATTTATAACAAGAAGGAATAGCAATAATTTGGACTTAAATTTAGCTAAATTCTCACAACCTCGAATCTCTTGATGTTTTCTTGGCCCACCGTATGATATTATAGATGTTTAAACAATAGGTTCTAAAAATTAATACTAATCTGATAATGGCTTATAATGCTTTTTTTCACCAGGCCAGGCAATGGCAACACTGTTATAAGGTTAGGAAACTATGCAATACACAATACTAATTAGGATAAAATATTTACCAATATACAAAAATATATTATCAATAAAGCAATTACTCAAAATATGTCTGTATAAATGCTATCTTCTTTTTATCAACAAAGCTGGTGGATCAAGGCATCCTTTTGCATCCACATTCATACTGTCGAGATATCTGGAACCTTCTTGATGCAGCTGTTGTGATTGGTGCTTGGATTGCATTCTTTAGGTAAATATTTATTAAATTATATATTTTATAAATACTAATATAAAAGTAAAAATAAATGATTTACGAATGTTTCTAACATTAAGAGGTTAAACAATAATTATTAACATTTCCTTAATAGCTATTATAAGTTAGATAATTAAATATCTAATAAAAATAATTAGAAAATAAAAAGATTTATAGTCAATCTATCGTATTTTCTGGTAAAAACGCGAGCTTAACATTAATAATAAGATATAAAAGTCTAAAATAGTAACCTGTGACAGATTAAAGTTATTTTGGATGAATTTTAAGCACTTATCTCATAGATATTAAAATTTCAAGTTGAATTTTGACTTTATTTTGAAGCCCCAAAAAATATTATAAATTCAGTTGTATAATTTTTATTAACTTTTCGTTACAGATCTCAAGATTTAGTTGGAAAAGGTTCTGCTGTAAGTAGGTAAGACACACTACCTTCCTCTTTACGATAAATGATTCATCTTATGTTAATATAACTATCAGGATAATGTAAAGTATGTAGTAAGAATGATACATTTTTTATATGGTTTCGTATAAAACCGCTTTTATTTCTTGATAAACTTAATGTTTTAAAAGCCAGAATAATCTTAATTTTTTTCTGATAATTTCTTTAGTCATCATATTAAAAACACATTTCGCATCCAATTAAAGGATACATAAACTTTGTTTAAGTGTTCTTGTTAATAATTCAAATAACGATAGGATATTTGTAGACTTACTAATTTATATTGATAAAAATCAGTTTCTTACTATATTTCGTATAATTTTAGCAAAACCTTTGTGAAGCCTGTCATATCAAATTATCTTTTGTCGAAAGTTTTATATAAACTTCAAATCCATTTTATTATATGTAATTTTATTCTTCATAACTTCTAAAAATTCACAAAATTTATATTATTTTATAGTAAAAATTTAAGCACGATAAAATCGCTTCGCGTCCTTCGAGTTTTGCGACCTTTAAAGACTATTCGGCGTGTTCCAAAGCTTAAAGTAAGTTATGAGTTTTAATATTCACTACTAATAATATGGATTGAGGATATTTCTTAATGAGACATAGTAATGTATAAGATAATGTATTCTGTAATGAGTGAGTCTCGAAACCCTACTCAAATACGACTATAATGTATTCTGTTTTTCCCAAATTTATGAGGCAATGCATTTTTAAGAAATGGGCTTAATTGTTTAACAAGCGAAATAGCACAAAACTATTGACTATACAAATAATATAACTAATTTAAGTCAAGCATGGAGCTAAGCTTTAAGGATCCTAAATTAAGAGATATCACAAGTGATGGAACTCTAGGTCTTAAAATATTTACCTACTTATCATTTCTAAATAACTCTGATGTTAAAGCAATATAAGATCAACAAAATTTATTATAAATAGGCTACCCTAGTAACTGTAGATATTTATGAAGAGCTTACCTCATTTTAGGTTGCATAGTATGATGAAGAGTATAATCATGATCCTAATTTAAAATCTGATCCCATTATTGCAGTGTGCAATTTTGCTAATAAGCAATAAAACACATTTCCACAAGTGTGTAGTTGATCGCAATGCAGTAGCGATACATCCAGGCATTTCTCACATTAAACCTGAATTTGCTTTAACAATAACTTGTATTCCCAACAGTTGGAGCAGTTCTTATTTAAAGTTTACTAATAGTATTAAAGTCTATTAATTAGGAATAAAGGTACGGCACAAGAGTGGGATAGAAAGATACATTTATGTCTCATATACTATCCAATATAATTGCAATAAAGGACAAGCTTGACTTTCCTTGAGCTATAGGTCTGCTCTGTAACAAACTGAAACTTTTGGCCTTGCCGAACATTGCTAACATGTTTAAATGATACGCTATAATACTCAGGATCGATTTCCATTTCAAAGAATATTCATGTCCAACCGAGGTCGGAACAGCAACCCAACCTTGAAGAGGAGCTTTATGGTGGTCGAGGTTAGGTGTAAGTTATTAGCACTTTAC